CAGGCCGCGGCTGTCGTCCTTCTGCCTGCCCCCGCGTCCCGCCCCCGGCTTTGCGACCCCCCGGGAAATGGGGTCGGAAGGAATCCGACCTAGGAGTCCGGCCGGCGGAGTGCGAGGCCTCCAGGATTGCAAGCCACACTTCCCTGCATGCCCGGGGCACGTCCGAGAGGGCGGGGGGTGGGGCTGGGGGCTCCTTAGGAGGACTCAAGGGGTGGGGTGCAGTCGGACCGGGCGGCCCCCGCCTGCAGGAGGCCGAGGACGCCCCGGGCAAGTCGGGGGGCCCTGCTGTTGCCTCACGGACGGGGCAGGCTTCAAGAGGCTCCAGCTTTCCTCGCTTCCCTTGTCCTCTGTAGCTTGTTCAGCGCTTTCCACCTTTTCAACCCGTCTCTTTCTCAGCCTGAAACCAGGAGCCCCAGAGAAGTTCAGGACTCCCCACTCCACCAGGTCGCGGGGGGTTCAGCAGCAGTGTTAGGGGAGCGGGTGCCTGCCTCTGCAACCCACTCATTGCTCACGGCTTCATTTTTTAGGTGGAGAATTAAGGATTTTTTAGCAGACAAAAAAATAAAATAAAATAAAAAGCCCAGTCACTTCTTCGTCATCTTGAAAGTTGAGCAGTACTGGAATTGAGCCCTTTTATCTTCAGGATCCTGGTCTCTCCTGGCCTGGCCACGTGGAAAGCACCTGGCAAAAGCAGTCACACCGGCTGGGGAAGAAGCCCTGGTCTCACAACTGCATCCTGGTTGGGGTCACATGATGTTTAGCTCTTTCCTCCAGGGTGCCTCGTTCATGGCTCTGGACCAGGCCAGTATCCAGAGGCACGCCTACAGACACCCTGTATCTTTTTTTTTTTTTTTTTTGAGTTGGAGTCTCACTCTGTCGCCCAGACTGGAGTGCAGTGGCCGCTCCTGGCCACCGCAGCCTTGACCTGCTGGGCTCCGGCGATCCTTCCACCTCAGCCTTCCGAGTAGCTCAAACTACAGGTGCGCGCTACCACACCCAGCTAATTTTTTTGATTTATTGTAGAGATGAGGTCTTCCCAAGTTGCCCAGGCGGGTCTCAAACCTGCGGGCTCAGGCAATTCACTCACCTCAACCTCCTTGTATCTTAGCAGATCCCCTGGGCAGAGCCATAAATATCTCAGATGTCATTTCCCTTGGGTCTTGCCTGGTGCCTTGAGATAAATCCTCAACAACCCAAAGTATTGACAGGTAACCTGATAGACCTGATAGAATCAGCCCTACCAGTGGAGCAGTCCCTGTGACAATGTTAGAGGACAGCATTGATTGCCCTGGGACTAGGGGAATGGGGGCCACCAGGTTTTTTGTGGGGAGTGGTGGCGAGGGAAAGGGCAGCAGGATGATTAATCTGTGTGTAGGCACAAAAGTCCCTTCCAGGGATCTTGACAATAGTTCCTCTCAAGCACATGATCAGAATGAGGAAGGCATGAGGTACCTTACCATATCTGGCCGAAGATAGGAGAATGTTAGTCAGGGGACTGCCTCAAAGCTGGAAGGAAAGAGTGTGTTACCTGAGGGCTTTCTTCAACTAATGCTTATGAGCCCAGGGTTTGGGATCCCAGAAACCTCTGCGAAAAGCTGTGCCCCAACTTGTCAGCAGGGGCCCTCAGACAAATTGCTCTATGTCTCTGCCTTGATTTCCTTAACTGTAGAATGGGGATAAGAACTGGGACCTCACAGGACTGTTGCTAGTGGTAACTGGAAAAATGCCAGAAAAACAAGTAGCACAGCCACGAGCATATCTAATCCCCAAGAAATGGTGGCCCTGTTATAGACATAGGACAAGCAGGGTGGAACTGTAGGCAGGCGGGTTTCAATCTTACTTTATAACAATAACCTCAGTGGTTAAGAGTTCAGGCTTTGCCGGGCTCGGTGGCTCAGCCTGTAATCCCATGCCTTGGGAGGTTGAGGTGAGTGGATTGCCTGAGCCCGCGGGTTCGAGACCC